CATCGAATCTATGTCGTCCAAATAAAAACACTCTCCACTATCCTGACAGGGCCTCTTCATTATTTTGGACATATCAAAGGTGGCAGTCTCATCTCCAACGCGGAGGACAAGCTTACCGTCTCCAACATCAATAAGTGCTCGGGCAGTTGCCAAGAATGGTCTGCCTAAAATCAATGGTACCTCTCGATCCTGATCCATGTCCAAAATAACGAAGTCTACAGGGATAATAAACTTGTCCACTTTAACCAACACGTCTTCAACAATCCCTTGGGGATATTTGACTGAACGATCAGCCAACTGAATGCACATACGTGTAGGTTTAAGTGGACCGAGTGCAAGCTTTTCATACAAAGTGAATGGCATCAAATTAATGCTTGCACCCAAATCAGCTAAGGCCCTATCAAAAGTAAGATCTCCTATTAAGCAGGGTATAGTGAAAGAACCTGGATCCTTAAGCTTCTCTGGTAGATCCCTCCTAATCACAGCTGAGCAGTCCACGTTAAGCCTCACAGTTGATGCTTCTTCCAACTTCCTCTTGTTAGTAAGCAGATCCTTCATGAACTTCGCGTACTTTGGCATTTGTGCTAGTGCATCCACGAATGGTATGTTAAGCTGGATTTGTTTCATGAGTTTCAGAAAATGACTAAACTGGTCACTATCATTCTTCCTTGTCAATCGTGCCGGATAGGGGAGAGGTGGGGTGTAATTCTTGACCGGAACGGGCTGTTTTGGTGCAGCCGCCATCTCTCTTCCCTCTTCTTTCTCCTTTTCTTCTTCCCGGGCAGCCGGTTCAACATCAACTTCATCGGGCTTCTTTATTGTGGCAGCAGGTTCTAGCTCTCTTCCACTCCTCAAGGTGATTGCCTGGACATGTTCTCTTGGGTTTGGCTCGGTATTACTAGGAAGGGATCCCTGAGGCCTCTCATATACGGCTTTTGCAAGTTGCCCTATTTGATTTTCCATGTTTTGCATCCTTGCATTTGCTTGTTGATTATTTACCTCAGAAGCTTGTATGAAACGTTTGAGGGTTTCCTCCAAGCTAGCAAACTTTTGGTCAGTCTCTCTCATAAAATTTTCTTTCCCCGGCAACGGCGCCAAAAACTGATGTGAGTTTTCTCGCACTTAAAAATGGTTGTAGAAAAGTGGTGTAAAGTACGAGTATCGTCTCCACAGGGACGGACAAAAGGGAATTAAAGATTAACTAAATTCAGCGATTAAAAAGAAATAAAATAAATAAATGCAAGTGTGCGAGATTTGATTGGTGAATTAAAATTAAACTAATGCGAATTGAACGATTAAAATAAAAGTGGTTTCTTCTCAATTAACGACGAAGGGAATAGGAATTGATTCCGGGGTAACCAGATTTCTGGCAGATCAGACCTAATTACATGAATTTAACTTAATTGAGCCTAGCTAATCATTACTAAGTTCTTACCGCTCTCGCGGCGTAGAGTACAATAATTTAGGAGACCAGGCTGATCTCTCATGCGACAGGATCCTAAATTATTGCCAAGACGAGCGAGCTTACGGCCCCTTAATCGCTACTAATCTCTTAGCGAACGATTAAGTGTGTGTGAATGTGTCCTAGAACAAATTAGATCTCTCTTAATTCATTCTACATGCAATTGTAATTCTAGCTGCAGTCTAGGTTACAAGAGATATCAATTAAATTATTCAAACACAAATTAAACGGCATTCATGCAATTAAACCGACAAGAATCTAGCCATCAATCATGATTAACCCCTTCATCAACCCCAAATCCCTAATTAAACTACTCACAATTCATAATTGAAGAATCAACAGAATTGGGATGAATAGAAATAATTGTCGTTAATTAAAAAGATGAACTTACAAATAATCCCAGGGTCTTGGAAGAAAATAGCGTAAAAACGGTGTTAAATTCGTCCCTAGGCCTCTCCGTAATGTTCGTAACGTCAAAATATGGGTATGGGGGTCTTATTTATAGAAAACGGATGAGTTTGGGCTGAACTGGGACTAAAAAAGGGCTGAAATCCGCGTCTCGGGTGTACGCACGATCGTGCGTACCTTGCCACGCACGATCGTGCGTAGCAGGCAGATTTGTTGCCGCGTTTTTGGCTCTTACGCACGATCGTGCGTCCTTTTACGCACGGTCGTGCGTCCGTGCTCTTCAGCCTTTTTTCTTGTCCGAATTTGACAAAACTTCCTTCATGAAAGTTGTAGATAATGAAGTCCTCTATCCACCCCAATTTGCCGAATGTGATTTGAATCATCCAATCAAGAGATATGATCAAAACGGTGGAAGGTGTCTTTCTGAAATCGCAGCAGAGATCATCTGACTTCATCGTCTGTTTTCACCTTCTTCCTATCAGATTCTTGCAAAGGTGTCTTCATATGATTTGTAGCCATTGAAGTTGGCTTTCCTATGGAACTTGAATCGTGTACATTGGATGTTTCTTCAAAGAGATATGCTTGAACGATTGACCAAAGGTCATCCTGATCGTCGTTTTCCAACTTCATTCATCTTCTTTTGATCCCATAGCCAATCCTAGAGCTCTTTTGTCATCAAATCTTCATCGTGAACCTCCCGGTGACCTCCAAAGCTCTCAATCCACTCTCGAATTCATCTCGAATCATCCCGATTGCTCCTCAAGTGCCGATGTTGAACTCTAAATTCCTCATTTTGACTCCAAATGCAACAAAACTCGAACCAACACATGTTAAACATAACTTGAGCTAAAATTAAGACTTGCAACACCTTAAATCTAGGAAAACCATCAAAATCCAATCCCAACACGCATCAAATGCGTGTCTAAATACGGACTTATCACTCATGTAGCTTTTTCAGCGGTTGATCAAAAAAACGGGAAGAATACGGGTCCTGAGTAGTAGGTCCGCTTATGTTTGTGATGCGCTTTTGTCTTTCGCATTGCAGTTATAACAGTCCCTTTGGAAAAACTTTTATTTTAGTTATTTATATTTTGTTGTTTATTTTGATTCAGACTTTGTCTTGCTGTTATATTTTCTGTTTCATTGAGAATACTAAGGATTAGGGTGGGTGATGATGAGACTTGTTCGATCATTTATTTTGATTCAGACTTTGTATTACTTTTTTAAGGTGATTAACTCCAAGTCTTATTCGAGAACTAGTGATCTGTGTATGAATTTTTGTCTTGAAGTAACTCGTCTGAATTCTGATTTTATAATATGAGCCATTTACAAAAAAAAACTTTTCATAGGCACTAGCATTTGAAGAGGTTGAGTAGCACCCAAAACCTCGAAGATGCAGAACACGTTCTTGAGTCACGAGCATTTGACAAAGAGCATCAAAAGTGAGCTACCCAGGTGATGGATATCTGAACCCCGAGGCAGGTGGAGTTCGGGAATAGAGAGGCTAAAAGTGCTAAGTAAGAATGAGTAAGAATTTGGGCGGAGTAACAAGTATGCGCAGAGAAATTATAGTTTGATCCTTCTCCACAAGCTAGAAGATGATATTTATATTATGAAAAACATATTTGGCCAACAGGTAAAAAATGTTATTCTATTGTGTGGAAGACACATGTAAAGTTGATTGGAGAGATAACTTGGTTGTGCGTATTGTGCATAACAGAATTGTCCTTTGTTGTACCACAACGCATGTGCGCGCCACACGTGTGTAATCCTGAATGTTTCGTGTAATAACCGCCTAGGTGACGTATGCCCTGGACAGCTGTCACGCAGGTGACATGGCCGCAGTTATGTGTGGTGCTTGATCGCTGAAATGTCTAAGTCCACAACCTCCTGATGAGGTCTCAAGCTCAGCCAGCGAGATTGAGCTCGGGTGTAGTATGCTCGTTTGGAGTGAGGCAACCTCAGTTCACTGTTTACCAAGTGGAGGTGATTTCCTCGTTCCGTTGACTTCTAGCTGTGCTAGTAGACTTTGAGCTCGACTATGACGCAATATTGTAGTGTTGACCTCGGCAGGGGTCAGCCTCGACCTCAGATGCAATTTTGGCCTTATCTCGATAATCTGGGAGTCGAATGTTGGAGCCAACCTCGGTGGATGTCGAGCTCGACCTGAGTGGAAGAAAGAGTTGGTACTTCAGGAGACTTCTTTATTTGTAAACGCTGATACCCCTGAGGTTGGGAATATACTATATCACCAAGAAAGTAGGATATGGTATTGATAAATGATTCATATTCAATACCTAAACCCATGATGGTGTATTGAATAAGATCTCAAACAGTGACTGGAGTGTTAATTGTCGCAAGAGAATCTGCCATAATTTTAATCTCCCATAGATACTAGTCCATAGTGTGAGATTCTTGTTTCTTGTATTGAGATAAAAGGCGTTTGAGTTCCATAGAACGAGCGAGACTAGCGAACATGAACCAATGCTGAAGGCAGTCCCAAATGGCACTGGAAAATTTCAGATCATGCACTTCAATGAGAATATCTTTAGATAAAGTGGCAAAAATCCATGATATTACAATTTCATCAATTTTTAGCCATTGGTGATAATCAGAATTAAGAAGTTCACGGTTAGCATGATAGATATAGATTAAAGGCATCAGTAGAGAACCGCCCAAATCTCCAAGAAGGCTGTGAGAATTGAAATCAAGAACGACTCAAATTGCAAACGCCATGGGAGATAGTGTTCCACTGTAGAAAGTTGAGTGGTCACAATATTCATAACTTTAGGCACTGATAATGCTAGACTGCTTGTGACAATTGCTAGAGTAGGAACACGACCGGGTGTACTAGGGGAAATTGGTTGTCCAACGGAAGCATAAGGTATAATAAAAATTACTCTGACCTTACTTTTTATTATTATTATACAATTCAATGCGTAAAATCAAAAGTTACGTATTTGGTGAAATAATGAGCCGATAAGCATAATAAGCCAAAAATCAATGTTACCAAACCAGCTCTAATTGTCTTCATTTTGAAACGGAAGATTTCATTTTTCTTGATATGCATATTGTTGTTTGAAGATTTAACAGACAAAGCAAAGTCGAGCAAAAAGACAAAGATATCGGATGAACACTGAAAAAACGGTTTAGATATAAAATTATCATTACTATTATTAAGAGCCCGTTTGGTAGTATGAAAATCGGCTGTTTTGGCTGATTCTGCTGAAATTTATGAAGTTCTGGCTGAAGTGGCTGCATTGGCTGATTCTGCTGATTTAAGAAAAAAATATTTTTAAAATTTATTTCATTAATAAAACAAAGAAAAAATTATATGTAAAAATAGTTAAAATGGTCATCTACAGTAACTTCAGCCAATACAGTCAGAAAAGTAACTCCAACCTTACTTTTTATGCTTATTACACAATTCAGTGCGCGAAAGCAAAAGTTACGTGTTTGGTGAAAAAGTTGGCTGATAATCCTGATAAGCCGAAAAATAGTGCTGCCAAACGGGCTCTAACTTTACGTCATCACTAATACATCAGGGGCACCAAATTAAATATGATCACATGGCAAAACACATCGGATAATAACGTTTAACTTGAAATCTATAAAGGGATACTTTTGAGTTTTGATGGATCCAGCATCCACGTATTTTTAGGACAACTTATTGAACTGGAATTCCACTCATAAAAAAAATGGCACAATAATTGACCCAGCAAACAACCCCGCGGATTGGACACCAAATTTAATTACGGACTCAAATATGGATGAGAAGATAGCGTAAATACAAAAGCCCGGCCCGGCCCGATCAGTTGACAAGCGCACAGTTTTTCCTGATCTCACCTGCACTCCCTGTCAACACATTAATCCTCCCCATTTTCTCCATAGACCTAGCAAACTCTGCTTCGAAAATCTCATTGGATCCACTGGCAAGCTGATTGACCAATGCCCTTGTGGTTTGGCTGTTCAACAAGGCCGAGTCCGACTGGAACAGCCCTCTCCTCTTCAGAACTCCCTTATAGTAGCTCAGATCAAACGTCCTGAAACTCCCTGGATCCATCTCGACTATCGTCGTGTTATCGTTAATCGACCTGCATTTCTTCTTCAGTGCCGTCGCGTACTCGCTGTCCAATGCCGGGTCTTGCGACGGGACCGTCCCCGTGAAATTGTAAAGACGGGTCGAAAACGACGAGCAATGCGACATCCCGATCGTATGAGCACCTATTAAGCCGAATTAAATTGTTATTGTCCTATACCAGATATCTTTAAAACAATTAAACAATAAGTATATGAAGATTCCTCCTCTATCAAATTGACATTTTGGGATGGAATCCAGATCTTAACAAAAATCAAGAACTTGTAGCTCAAGCCACAAAAATCAAATGTAGTACTTACTACACCTAATGAGGTTGTTGGCTTGATTAAAGTATTTCAAAATGAACCGTGTGTACGTACCGGATAATAGGACCAAGTCGGTGAGATTAAGACCCTGGTTGCTAAAGAGTGTTTGGAGGGTTGTAAAGTTGCTGGTGGGCGGAGGAATGCTGCTGGTTTCCGATGAATTGGAAACCCGGCCGTCCCGTCGACCGGTCGGAACATCCCAAGATGGCCCTCCCTGAAAATTAAAAATTATCATCTTTATTTGTTAGCACCACGTAATCCCGACTTTGTCGCGCACTACTCCAGAAAATTGTGAAATAATAAAATTCTATATTAAGAGCATAATTATAGGAATCTTCCTATCAAATTGACGTTTTATGATGAAATCTCATAGAAATTTCATTAATGAAAGTAAATGAATCAGTTTTTTTTTATGGTTTAAGAGACTTACAATGGCGACTACAGAATCCCTGGCGACCAAAGCAACAATATCTGCACAGGAGACTTTTTGAGGGCATTCAGCTTCCACGATGCTCTTGACCCGGTCAATAAAGTCAAACCCCCTCAACGTCTGGTTCGGAACAGCGACTTTCTCCGTCTGGTTTCCGGTGCTTGATGTGAAGTTCAAAAGCACAGATGCGTCGCAGCCCTTCATCATTAAGGCATTTTCTTCTCAGTTCAGACCGACAAATTAGGAAAAAAAAAAACAAGACCAAATAGACATTAACATCATCAATGACGTGCTTAATTACGTACCCTGACAAAGCAATCGTGGAAATGCATTCTGAGTAAAGGAGCTGCTAAAGTTGGAGTCTTTGAAATGTGGTCGTGGACAAAGTCGCTGATGAGCTTCTCAGCTCTGGGACATGTTTTGCTGTAGAAACCTTCCTGCAACTGAGAGCAGACAGAGCCAGTTATTCCAAAAATACACAGAATCATAACCCAGAAAGAGCCCATTTTTTCAGACTCAAAATCTCTTTCTTGAGCTCTTAGCACTTCCTGTACTTTTGCACAACCGACCCAGACAGTGAAATCAATTTAAAGTTTGATTTTTTTACAGATGGATCGCATCCCATCGCAATGATTTATAGGCACTGTAATGACAGTGTCGCGACGCGCGGTGTTACTGTACTACGCGCCACGCGCTCTAGCTAGCTTAGCGCCGTAGTTAACCACATGTGACATGTCATTTAGTACTGGGTCTCATAATTGTATGATTCCCATTCTTTGACGATGTCGTATGCAATTAGCCAAACAACAGGTTGCACGACATTTTTTGAAAAATACTACCTCCGTCCCTTATAACTTTGCCAACTTTCCTTTTTTGGATGTCCCATTAACTTTGCCACTTTCCCATTTAAGTAAAGAATTTGTGGTTCCAGTTAATTCTTTCTCCTCTGCACAAACCTCAACCACACAGTTTTTACTTTATTAATCCCCGTGCCGGTCAAACTTGGCAAAGTTATTAGGGACGGAGGGAGTAGTCGGTATATGTAACCCAGTTTAGTAATTGTCTAACTAATATTCAAATAGAGTTGAAATTCTTAATAATTGTAAGAAGTCCCTCCATCCCCGTAACTTTTCACATATATTATGTAAATAAATTTACTAGGAAGTAAATTTTATTGTTTTCACACTTTTTGACACTTTATGGACACTGTCACTGTTTTGCATTGTTTGACACTGTTTCGATGTGGATTATATGCCAAATAAGGAAATGTATTGAAAGACAATCTTCATTTAGGGACTGCCCAAAAAGGAAAGGGGGAACTTGTTGCAGGGACGGGGGAGTATAAAATATATTTTATTAATAAAATAAAGAAAAATTATACGTAAAAACATCTAAAATGATTCTCTTTAGTAACTTTAGCCAAAATAGCCAGAAAAGTAACTCCAACTTGACTTTTTCTTATTATTACACATTTGAGCACGCAAAATCAAAATTTACGTGTTTGCTGAAAAAGTTGGCGGATAAGCATGATAAATCGACTAACAGTGTTACCAAACGGGCTCTGAACCTATAAACACTAAATAAAAAAATTGGGATGCGTTGGGTTTGAAATTTGGAGTCAAACCCAGCCCCTACATCGATTTGTCCTTGTTTACGCGAGCATCAATGTGCATCGGGGTGCCCATTTTATCCTACTCCCTTCGTCCCTAATAACTTTGCCAAGTTTGACCGACACGAGGATTAATATAGTAAAAACTGTGTGATTGAAGTTTGTGCAGAGGAGAGAAAATTAACTGGAATCACAAATTCTTTACTTAAATGGGAAAATGTCAAAGTTAATAGGAGTATGGGACATCCAAAAAAGGAAACTTGGAAAAGTTATAAGGGACAGAAGGAGTATTATGTATTCACTCAATCTCATTGAAAGGTTCTCGTCCACTATTCTCGAGTCAGCGTCAATTGTTCTTAATGTTTTACTTTATACTCCGTATATCCAACTTTTATCGAATATTATTTTTCTATTCGCAACATTATAAAACTTTTAATGTAGTGTCTGAATATGTAAATTTTATTAACTAAAAATAATCTTATTAATGGAAGGGATCGATTAACTTAATCACCAGTCAAACATCATAAACCGCGTGAGAATCTTTAAATGGAGGTGTATTTTTGAACTAATCTGATTTAAATCTCCATGGTTTGATGTGAAACATTTTTATATGATCTCAATTCATCGGGAAAAAAATCATAGGATTACATTGTTTCAATTATGGGCGTACAAAAGAGAGCTAATCTAGATCGGGCCAATTTCAATTTTCTATTTCCACTTGTAACTTTAATTAAATATAAATATTACGGAGTACTATTCTCGATCTCAAAATAAACTTCATAAATTTCACTCTTTGATTTTATGGCAAAGAACCTTTGGTTCTCGATATTTCTCTCTTCCAGACAACTTTTGGCAACACAAATTTCACTTTCTTAATTCTCCTGCCAAGTTAAAACCAAAGTTTATTACTACCTCCGTCCCATTTTATCTATCTTCTTTGCTTTTGACATAAATTTTAATGAAGTGGTTAAAAAGGTAAAAGTGGTGGTTGAGATTTGAGTATTATAAAGTGAAATGATGTGATCACATATTTCTTTCCAAAAAGGGAAATGTGACACTTATTTTGGGACAACCCAAAAAGGAAAATAAGACAGGTAAAATGGGACGGGAGGAGTATAAGGCAAAGGGAGTATGAGGTAACAAATTATACTACGTATTAAATTATAGTTAAGAAATACTCACTCTGCATTTAAGATATCACCATATTAGGTATTGACACAATATTTAAGAGATAAATAGTAGAGGTAATGAATATTGTACAAAATATAAGACAGGGTGTGAGAAAGTAGGAAAAAGAGGACAAAAATCCAAAAAAAAAAATAAGGGTAATGGGTTTTTTTTTAAAGGAAAAACTTACTGAAAAAGGAAAATGCAGTAAACTTTTAAATACGGAGGTAGTAACCAGGATCAGTAATAAATATTTTAACAAGTGGAAAGTAGTTAAACCAAGTCTTTGCCACATTGATCACATAATTCATTCATCATATTGTAAAACCATTCTCAAGTCTTTGAACCAAAACTCCTCTTTGTTTACTTTTATTTGAAACGTTACAGACATTTAAAGATTATTCATTTTCATGCGGATACAAACTCTACTACGTTATACTATTAGAGTTAGTGCTAGTGGTGAAATATATATTCTTGAGGCACAATCGACTTAAAGGCGATAAGCCGATAATGGTGCTAGAGATCGGCGTAGATCTTCCCACAAGAGGCAGTGGCCGACTGGCCGCGATGATGAGATGGTAGCAGTGGCGGCAGTGCCAGAGGGTGGCGCGTGTACGTGGTGCTCTTGCTGAAAGGGTAGTGGGAGCGGAGGAGAATGTGGGTCCGAGTGAAGGTATACTGAATTTTTAATTTTTTAAATATAGGTATAGAATTAGAATTTTCATTACGGGCAATCACCAGTGAAAACATTGACATAGTATATTCTTAGGGAACATAAGTTCATGATGGTATGCTTTTTGAATGTAAATTGCCAATGCTATTGATTTAAATTGCATCGCTCACAATGCAATGATCTACACGAGTCGCAGATCACTTAGGATAATCGATGAAAATATTAGCTTCATGCAGAAAAATATGTCTAATATCCTCAATAAGATAGAGATATTTACTTTAGGTAGTATCTATTTTGGCATCCACATTGATTTTGACAAAACCTACATCATGGCAGTTTGCTTGCTTGATTGTATGCTTTTCCATTGTTTTGTTCCTAATTGTGTGTTTCTGATGGTTGCTACTATTAAGTTTTTAGCAAATACTAAGAGCCTGTTTACTAACAGAGATATTTTCCAGTTTTCCAGAAAACTGGAAAACTGGAAAACAGAAAACAGGAAACGTATTTATCTAAGAAATTGCTGGAAAACTGAAGAAAGGAAAAAAGAAAAACGCGTTTACCAAATCGTTTTCCAAAACAGAAAAAATGAGACGTGTCTTTCTTTTCCTTAAGGATTTGGAGAAGTGACTTTTACTAGTTTTTCAAATTTGGAAAACGCAGATGGTACAGTGTCGGTGCAATAAATTTGCATACTTAAACCTAGTGGCGGGTTCGGTCCCGCTCCGACGTCGATTCCATTCCGGTACCTCCATCCCCGTACCTTACCCCTTACCCCTACCATACCCTACCCTACCCCCCAACCCAACTCCGCGTACCCATTTTTCCCTATAATGACCCTACCCGACCCCCTACCACATGCCCCTACCTCGGCCCCACCCCCGATCCACCCTACCCTACCGCCACCCCCCTACCACCTCGACGCCACCCCCGACCCACCCTACCCTACCCCGTATATTACCCCTTACCCCTTACCACATGCCCCCTACCTCGTCCCCACCCCACCGCCATCCTACCCCCACCCTCGTACCGCCATCCTACCCCCAATCTTCCGCCATCCTACCCCTACCACCATCCTACCCTCCAACCTACCCTTCCCCTACCTCGGCCCCACCCGGATCCCGGGCCCACCCTACCGCCATCCTATCCCAACTCCTTACCATACTCCTTCCTTACCCCAACCCCAACCCTACCCACTACCCCACCCTTACCGCCATCCTACCCCCACCCTACCCCTTCCCTACCTTGGTCCCGCCCTGGTCCCGGCCTCACCCTACCGCCATCATATCCCAACTCCTTACCTTACCCCTACTTTACCCCACCCCCACTACCCCTACCCACTACCCCACCCTTACCCCTAACCATGACCCTAACCCACCCAGTACCCCCACCCAACCCCTACCCCTAGACCTTACCACCCCACCCCGACCATACCCCTTATCCCACCTCCACCCATAACTTCCCGACCCCTATGAGTAGGTATGGGTGGGTATGAAGGGTTGTGGGGGAGTATGGGTAGAGTGTAAGATCATGACAAGGGTAGTGGGTAAGGGTCAAAGGTGTGGAATTAGAGAACTTGGTGAAAAAATTGATGAACATGTTTTCAGATTTGAAAATGGAAAACTAAAAAATAGAAACAGAAAATTGGAGATAGAAAAACTGAAAAATAAAAACAGAAAATTGGAGATAGAAAAACTGAAAAATAAAAACAGAAAATTGGAGAACGAAAAACAGAAGTTGAAAACAGGAAAATATCTCTGTTAGTAAACAGACCCTAATTGTTCCTTCAACATGAGCGTGTGAGCTCGAACTAATGGTCTTCAAAGTGGGAGATCACAGGGACATATCTCACAAATTGAGCAAGAAGTCATTGCCAAGACAATAGTGCTGTCACCTATTCCCTATCGAGAGAACGTAACATAAGGTTTAATTTTCAGAATAAGCTTAAGATTAAAGTTGAAAATGTCATTGTTGTACAAAGTCAACACTCAAAAGACTTTAACGAAAATAAGAAAGAGATATTTACTTTAGGTATGACTAAAACTCCATCAATTTCTCAATCTATGACCTTATTACTTTTTTTTTACTAAAATAATACCAAAATTCGTACTAATCTATATCTATATTTATATCTATCTATCTATAATACATTTCAAAGATA